ATGCCTCAGCCTGCCCCGGCAGCCCAGCTTCTCTTACACTTCCTGATGGAGAAAGGAGGGCTGCCAGCCACGGAGGCCTGCATGCAGGCCTGCCAGAACGCCACAAAGCTCAACCTGACTTGGTGGTACACTTCTCAATCCCAGCACTCTGGGAAGAAGAGCTCAGTTCCAGTCAAGATACAAGGAGCTGGGGGTGTGGGTCAGTGGTAGAGTCCTGGGTTTAATGCCCAGTACCAGAAAAAAAAAAGCCTACACAAAGCCTCACCCTACCAACTCTCACCATAGACAACAGACTATTCACAAATGTATTTTGTGAGCATACAAAGTTTTAGAGCATTTGGGGGAGGACACTACGAGGGTGAATTTCTACACAGATATGAAACTGCTGTATTTTTTATGTTTTTGGTTTTTTGAGACAGTCTTGCTACTATGTTGTGCAGCCCAGGCTGGACTTGAATTCACCCTGTTGCTCAGGCTGGCCTTAAGCTGTGGCATCCTCCTGCCTGGGCCTCCCAAGCGCTGCAGCAACAGGCATGCACTACCACACCTGCTGTCAGTTTACTTTTACAGCGGCAGACAAAGCTTTTTTCATTCTATCAGTTGTAAAAAAGAGGCTCAGGCATCCTTGCTGCCCACTAAGCGGGCAGTGCAGCAGCAAGAGCACAGGGCTCCCCCAGGGGCATCTGTCACCTCTAGCCAGAGGAGACCCAGGATCCCACCCAGGTCCCGGGACTTCTCTACCACCCAATGGGGGAACTGTGCTTGCTCCACAGCAACAAGTGCTAACACTGCCCAGAGGCCCCTCTGCGAAGGTGCCATGTGGCGCGGTAGCAGGGCACAGGGATGTGCCTGGGCCAGGCTGACTGGGCGTGCAGGCCCCTGGCCTTGGTTCCCAGCAGCACTTGCACTCGTGCTTGGCTCAGGCCCCAACACCTGCGGCGGCCCTCTGAGCAGCACCCCAGGCCAATGGCAAGGGCTAGAGATAAAGTCTGAACTTCTTTCATCCGTTCTAGCACTTAGTGGCTTCACTGACAGAGCTAGCACTATTTTTTGTTGTTGTTGTTTTTCCTTTTTCTTTTTGAGACAAAAGTTTCACTGGACAGTTCAGGATGGCCTTGATCTCACTTTGAAGCCAAGTGGCCTTAAACTCACAGGGATCCTCCCGCCTTGGCCTCCTAGGTGCTGGCATTACAGGTGTGAGCCACCAAGCCCAGCTTCTAACCCCTTTTATTAAAATATTTATCTTTTTAAATTTTGAGAGTCTTACTAATTCACTAAATTGCCTAGGCTGGGCCAGACCTTGTAATCCTGGAGCCTCAGCCTTTCAGAGTGCTAGTATCTGGCACCTGCCATTTTTTTCCCTACTAAGAGAAAAAAAAAAGAAAAGAAAAGAAACAAGCTAAATACCCACCCTAATTCCTCTGATTTTTGATTGCTTCTAGGAGTAGCATAAAAGTGACACCATCTATGATTAAATTAAAGGCCCAACTGTTAAAAAACAGAACATGATTAAAAGTTTCATGGTCAACTGTAACTTGAAAATGCAGATTTTGGAAAGATAAAACAATGGCTGGGTGTGGCGCGCACCTGACCTCCAGGAACTCAGAGGCACAGGCAGCAGGGCCTTGAGACTCCAAGGACAGCGCCAGAGGCTGTGAGGCCCGGGCTCAAAACCACAGAAACAATGAACAACCGGACAATCTCTTTATGGATTTCAGGAGCTCTTTCTAGCCAGGCACAGTAGTGCATGCCTTTCTATACTCTCAGCTTCTTGGGCCTCCCAAGTTCAAGACCAATCTGGGCAAAACAAACAAAAAACTCAGGAAACCTTCTTGGAGCCCACCCTGAGCCCCATCCATCTGTCTCCCATAGCTTTTTTCCCCAGTAAATAGAGTCTGCTATAAGACTGGGGGGGGGGATTATAACTCAATGCTTCCAAGTTCAATCTCTAGGACTACCAAAAAAAACAAACCTGAAATTTCTAGAGCATCCGCTGAGAATCTGAACGTCACTGTGGTTCCACATCTCCCAGGGTCTGGCAGTGCGGTTTCTGCTTTTAGCCTGGCCTAGGGTGACATCTGCTGGCCATAGCTGAGCCTACACATCTGCAGCCACCCTAGTAACAGGGCAGAAAACCAAAAACAAACAAAACCTGAACTAACTCTGTCTCTCTGTCCCCCTCTCCTCCCACTACAACCTGAAGCCAGGGCCCTTGAGTTGATGAACATTTAAATTCCAAGACAAGGTCTGGGCTGGCCGGCCTGGAGCTTACAGTCCTCCGGCCCCAGCCTCTCAGTGCTGGGGTTATGGGTCTGGGCCACAACAGCAGCTAAACATATCCAACATCAACAGCACTTCAATCCCCTTATGATTAAATCACCTATTCCCAGCAAAAGGGAGGGGCTGTGGCGCAGAGAGAGTGCAGGGACTCGGCAGAAAAGCAGCACACGCCATGCACGGTGGTGCACCACTGTGACCCTGGGACTGGGGAGGCTGAGGCAGCAGGGCTGCTGTGAGTTAATGCTAGCTTGGCCCACAGAGTGAGCTCAAGGTGGGCCTGAACTACATAGTCAAACCCTGTCTCAAAAAAAAAAAAAAAAAAAAAAAAAAAAAAAAAAACCCAGAGCCGAGCATGGTGATGTACACTGTAATCCCAGCAGCTGGGTCAGGCAGGAGGATCATTCTGGGCTACATAGTGGGCTCAAGTCCAGCATGAACTATAGCAAGACTGTCTCAAAAAAGCAAAAATAATAATAAAAAAAAGACCCCAAACAACAACAAAAACCCCAGAATGACTCATAAGGTAGGGAGGCCTCCACTTCACACAGGGAGACATGGGTACAGTATTCATAACAGATATAGATTCCAAGTGAAAATTAAGGCCTATGCTCAGTAAGACTACAGCTTATATAACGCATCCCTCTCACTGTGCTAATTACACCATCAAGTCTCTGGGGCACGCTGGCGCAGACCCGCAATCCAGCACTTGGGCAGCCGAGGCAGGACGATCCATGCAGTCAAGGCTGAATTACCTAAGGAGAATCTGCCTCAAAAACCAAACCACAAACCCCACCAACTTGCAGCCCGCCGTGGCGGTGCACACTCGTCATCCCAGCGCTTGGGAAGCTGCATAGACGGACCTGCGGTGCGAGGCCAGCACAGGCTACCAGCTCCTCCAGGGGCCACGTAGACGCCACATCGAGACCCTGTCTGGAGCCACCCCGAGCGGCCCGTGCCCCCCTGCTGCCTGGCCAGCGCCCACTCACCGGCCGAGTGCGTGAGCAGGGCCAGCGTCTTCAGGGGCTGTGTGGCGCGGTCGATGCTGCTGTAGCCACGGCCCCGCGCCCTGCTGTGGTGATGCTGGAGGTAGCGCGCGAGCAGCAGGTACAGGAGCCACAGCGCCACCTTGCCCAGGACAAGAACACTCTGCGCCTTCAGCGGGCTGGTGTAGTTCCCCGGGCACCTGTCCTCCTTTGGGTCAGGGTACGAGCAGAGCACACCAGTTAAAAACACCAAGACCACAAACACCACCTGGGGAGAGGAAGCAGCCTGCTCAGTACACATATGATGAAAGAAACAACAACAATCACACGGAGAGCTAAGAAAGTAGTCTCTGAGACAGGGTCTGTACAGCTTGGGCTGGCCTTGAGCTCACAGAACTCCTCCTGCCTCAGCCTCCCTCGTGCTGGGAATATAGGATGTGCCACCACCTGGCCACAGGTGCACACTTCTAAAGACATCGGCAGGATGAGTGGCTCAGTGGCACGGCTCAGTGGCACAGCCCGTGCCCAGCAGGTGTGAGGCCCTGGGACCCAGCCCCACCCCCACCCACTCCCATGGAGAAGCACAGCGGAGAAGCAGAGGTGGGGAGGCGGCGCCTTCAAGGCAGGCACAGTGCCCACTCACTCGGGAGGCTGAGGCAGGAGGGGGAAAGTCTGAGATCTGCACTGGCGGTTTCTCAACATGAACTACAAAGCGCCAGGCCTGTGGCTCGGTAGGTGGAAGCCACAAAGTGCGCCCACGACTCACGTGGACGAGCAGCAGCACAACGGCTGTGAGCGCCGTGGGCAGCGGCTCGAAGCTGGGTCTGAAGTGAGCCTGCAGGGAGTGCTGTGGGGGCAGCCGGGCGTCCAGCAGCGGGTCCTCCTCCACACTCTGCACGAGGTCCAGGGAGCCCTGAGCACAGAAGACTGCAGTGAGCTTGCTGACCCGGGCTGTTTCCAGCACTCGGGAGGCTGCGGCGAGAAGGTCCCTTGGAGTTCAAGACCAGCCTGAACTACACAGGAAGACCCCTGCCCCAAAGAAAACAAACCCCCTGCGGTCACAGCCACTACTTTCCATCAGATATTTCCACGACACCTATAAAGCTCTTCAGCCAGCTATGATGGTGCACTCCTGTAGTCCCAGCACTTGGGAAGCCGACACAGCAGCTCTAGGGCTGCCTGGACTACAGTGAGTTCAAAGCCAGCCAGAACTACAGATCATGACTCTGACTCCAGGAAAACAAAACAAAACAAAACTTTTTAAACTGTGACTCAAGTTGGAGGGATAAGAGAACACAAATTCACATAAGGCTAGCTTAAAAGATAATACCCTCAAGATAACTTCTGTATATATCTTGGTAGAAATGAGTATTAAACAGACAAAGGAAATGTTTATTATTTCTACAGCCCACAGGCAAGGTGATCCATGAGGGCACCCAAGCAACCCACTTCCTCTGCTCTGAACCGCGGGTGTGGCTCGACCCAGCAAGAACTACACAGTGGAAAAGGATTCCAATGGCCGCAACTGTTTGGGTTTTGGGGGACAGGATCTCACTACAGTTGAGGCTGGGCTTAAACTCACTATGTAGCCCAGGTTTGCACTGAACTCATGGGCAGTCCTCCGGCCTCAGCCCCCCACATGCTGGGATTCGGTGGGTGCTGGCTATTCTATTCTATCACATTCTATATTCTGGCTGGTCTACAGTCTAGCCTGTGCACCTCTAAATCAGTTTCAAATGACTCATGGTATATCAGTCTCGCCTTTTCCAAGCCATTTTTTTCCCCTTTGCCCCAGTGCTGGGGGTGGTGCAGAGCCCCAGGCGCACAGGGCTGCAGCCCAGCCCAGCTCAGCTCTCCTCAGTTCCCACCCACTGCACAGGAAGCTGCAGCTGCAGGCTCTGCAGGCGCCCTCTGCCCCGTCCCCTGCCAGCTGTTCCTTAGCAGAGCCCAGTCTGGTGGGCCAGGCTGCCTCGGGGGCGCCTCTTCCTTGCCTAAGGGCGGTGGCTCTGGCCTCACAGTCACCGGGAGCTCAGGCCCACAGGCGGCCCTTGGGGTGTGTGGTGGAGCCTGGGAGAGGCAGGCACACAGCCAGCGTTTGCAGCTTCCTACAGATGCTGGAAACCCTGTCCACACCCAGGCGGGTGACTCGCTCGGATCTACCACCGTCCCTGGGGGGGTCACATTATTTCCCAACCGTCTGGTCCAAGAGAGTTCTGCCACTACATTCCTAAACTGAAGAGAGGATCCGAGAACTCCAGGGACGGCTTCCAAGCAACCAGGAAACACTGCCTGTGCTCTTCTGTCTCATTTTCCTCTTAAGTATTTACTTTTTGCAGAAATCATAAGCCCGTGAATCTCACCCTTAAAAACTCAAAAATATAAGCGAGCACGGTAGTGCGCAGCTGTAAACACAGCACTTGGGCGGCTGCGGCACAATGACCACGACCAGCTTGTGCCACAAAACCAAAGCCTGCCTCGACTACATAGTAAAACCCTGTCTCAAAAAAAGTAAGATAAAATAAAAAGTCAGAAACAATGCATTTTGTTCTAACAGGTACAAGTCTTGGAAATTTTAAATGTTCTATAAATTGGTGTTTTGATAGGATTAACTCCAACCACTACTTGTACAAGAACCAACGCACTTGTGCTGTCACCTGGCATTTTCAGGGTCATATTTCTGTTTATTAACCCGAAACAGCAATTTATGCTGCCAACTTCGCATTTAAAGGGGCCAAGAATTTTATTATGTGCCAGCGAGTAAAGCAGCAAACTCTGGGCACAAATACTTGCTCCTCCGGCGCAGCCTTCACAAACTCACAGAAGCGCAACGCTGCCACTGCGCCAGCACTCCGCACCGCATCCCCGGCCCGACCCTCCCAGGCGCGGTCTCGCCTCCTCCCGCCCGGCCGGGATTCCCACGGGCACGTGACAGCTCTCAGCGCGCGCTTCCGGCAGCGGCAGCGCCCCGGCCAGCGGGAGCCAGGCCGCGTCCGCGTCACGGGACGCTCGGCTCGGGCGGGGACGCGCCCCACCCCGGCCCACCCTGCCCCCCGGGGCGTGCGCCGGCTGCACGCCGCGTCTCGCCCCGTCACCGCGACACTCACGTCTTCCATCCGGGGCCGCGCCGCCATCTTCCGAGGCCGACGCGCGACCCCACTCCTGCGCCGCGGACCGGCCAGGGCACGCCCACTGGCGCTCGCCCCGCCCCGCGCGCCACAATTGCCCGCCCCCTAAGCCGCTGATTGGCTGAGGCGGAAGGAGCGGCGCGTCCGTCCTGAAAGCTCTGAGAGCTGCAACCATCCCCCGACAAACTAGTTCCGGCTCGGCCGCGGAGACTGCAGGGCCAGTGCCAGACCTGACCCCGTGACGGAGCTACGGCGGCCGCCACCTGCTTCTGCTCAAAACGCGAACTTGCCGCCTCCTTCGTTGGCCCCCACGATCTTGCGCTTAGGGAGAAGCAGCGGTAACGCCCTGCTCCGCCAGCAGAGGGCGCGCGAGCGGGCGGGCTCCAGCTTCACCAGCAGGAAACAAAGCCGCGGGGCCTTTTTAGGGCTTGTGTTCCTTTGTAAGAGGAATTAAGCAAACGCAAGTGAATTTTTTTGGTAATACATGATAGTCATTTTTTTGTTGTTGTTACTACCAGTTCCCAAGAGGACCATGATACCAGTTGGAGCATATTATTTACACTTTAATCATTTTTTCAAAAAAACCTTGAGGCTGAGACTCGCGATGTAGTGCAGGCTGGCCATGAACTTGCTGTGTTGCCCAAGGTGGCCTCGAACCCGTGGCGATCCTCCTGACTCAGCCTCCAGGCTTGGGCCACCAAGTCTGGCTACCTTCATCTTTTCTTATAATGCTTCTTTTCATTATTTTTATTAACACAGAGCACAACGTGACCCTGTGAATGCGGTTGATGAAATGAAACTCCTCAATGTCAGTAAGGAAAAGATCGTATCAGGCTTCACGGTTGGTTGCAACATCGTAAAATCTCACAGCCCAGTAAATCTCTGATTTCTCAAGCCCCTCTGTGGACATGCCCTTTCCCTCAACATCCTGTTCGGAAGATGGCCAAGCTGACACAAGGGACGAGGGTGTTGTGAATAGCACGCAGCGAGTGCTCCGTGCGCCCGTGTCCACCCTTCCCTCATGTAAGGGCCAGGCTTGAACTTCTGGGCTGAGACGATCCTGCCTCGGCCTCCCCGGGCTGGAAGCACACTCGGGAGGCGCCGCCTGGCCTGGCGCGCCGCTTCCGGGCCCACCCCGCGGAGCCAGTGCAGGCCACAGCGCTTGTCCTCGCGTCGGCCTCTCCAGGCCTGCATCAGCTGCGCGCTGCCTGCGGCGCAGGTCTGAGCTCTGCGCCTTCCCAGCGTGTGCTGCTGGCCTCCTGGTTGGCGTTCTCTGCAACTCGGCTTCCGCATCTGTAAAAATGAAGCTGCTAATTCCCCTCTTAGAGATTTTTTTTTATTCAGTAAATGTCCTGGTCTTCCTGTGGCGCAGCCGGCACAGTGCTTGCTCTCTGAGAGGCTGAGACGGGAGGGGCCCCACGCTGGAGCCCAGCCTGGGCGATTCAGGGATTTCCAAATATCCTGTCTCAAAAGAAACGGAGGGGGCTGGAGGTGTAGCTCAGAATCAAGGGCCTGGGTTCAATCCCCAGTACAAAAAAAAAAAAGGTATTCAGCAAGTACTGTTTACTTTTTTCACTGAATCACATTTCTTGAGGCATTATTAACATGCAGTCATTGGTTTAATAATATAGGGCAGGTGTGCTGGTTCGTGCCTGCCGTGCCGGCCCTTAGAGGCTGAGGCAGGAGGAGTACAGCGATTTTGAGGTCTGGGCTACAAAGTAAGGCCAGCCTGAACTACATAGTAAAACCCTGTTGAAAGAAAGAGAAAGAGACAGAGAGGGAGAAGAGGAGGGAGAGAGACAGACAGAGAGAGAGAGAGAGAGACAGGATGGAAGGAACCCACAATAAAATGTTATGTTACTCTGGAGCTGGAAACTTTTCAAAATGAAATTTTCTGAGTTAAAAAGGTGAGTGGCCTGTGCTTGGTAGGCTGAAGGCCTGCTACACTTGCAGGTGGGAAGGGTCTATGCCTATGCGGTGTGCAGGGCCAGCACTCCTGCGGAGGGCAGTGGGAGGCGCTCAGGCCAGGTGTCACCCCCTCGGCCACCAGCCTGCAGATCTGCAAGTTCTGTCTGGAGCCAGGAGTCCCTGAGAAGAACAGGGGCAGCCCCAGCTGGCCCGCCACCTTCGTAGGGCCTAGCCTTGTGCTCACAGCGCTGCTTGGTGTTTGGTGTCCCAGGTGCCAGGCTACAAGGAACAGGAACTCAACCTGGCAGGCAGGAAGCCAAGCAGAAGCAGCGGGAGGGACAGGCCCTCCGCACATGCTGACGGAGACCTGGAGGGCCATAAGACAGTTGTCAAAAGGAATTTTTGCTTGTTGGTTTGTTTATTGTTGTTTTGGTCCGTTTGAGACAAGGTCTTACAGTCCAGGCTGGCTTTGAGCTCCCTTTGTAACCCAGGCTGGTCTCTAAGTGTCAGTGATCCTCCTGCCTCGGCCTCCCCAGTGCTGGGATTACAGGTGCGCACCACCACACCGGTTTTCAGGCCGGAACACTGTGTGACCAGCACAGCGCGCAGCACTGGGGATCTAACCCGGGTCCTTGCACTTCCTGGCAGGCGCTTAGACTGCTGAGCTGTCTCCCCAGCCCTGTGTTCTGTTTTTTGAGATAGGCTCTCTCTGTAGCCCTGGCCGGCCTTGCCCTTGTAATGGTTTGTGGCTTGTAAAGCACCGAGCCACGCACTGCGCTGTAAGCAGACCATCTCCAACTTGGGAGCCGAAGGCCTCCGTTGAGGGAGCCGTCCCTCTACCAGCCCCTCTCTCTATTGGTTTATTTGCCTCTAAGTTTCTTGTAAATCCTGACATTTACAAACACAGTTGTTTTTGAAGGCAGACAATTTTTCTTTTCATTTCACTGACTAATTTAGGAGTGAAAGAACAAGCCTGCTAAAATTTCCAAAAGTGATCTATCTTTGGACAGACACCAAATACATGAAGTATTAGCATAAAGCCAAAATTTCTTTTAAATTTTTAAGAAAAACACCAACAGGATGAAAATGAATTTTGTAGCCTTCATGCAGATTAAGTTGTCTCCTGCTGAGTAGCCACAGAGCCGAGCTCCGCTGACCGCCGGGGCTCACTCCTGGTTCCGCTTTGCTACTAGGTCCCCAGCTCCGCAACCAGCCGCGCCTCTCTGTAGCATCTTCTCAGGAGGATTTTTCTTTCTTTCTGTGGTACCTGGGATTGAATTTGAGACCTTATACTTGCCAAGCAGGCACTTACGCTGCTGAGCTACCTCCCCAGGCCTAGGATTTTCTTATATCAGAAATAAGCAGAGCTGGGCATAGTGGTGCAGCCTGATTCAGGCTGAGCCAGAGTCTCATCTTGGCCCCTCCTGAACAAAAGAGGAGGATTCTTGACTATCTCCTGTCTCAAAACAGAAAGAGGACATGGAGAAAGAGAGAGAGAATGAGGGAGAGAGGGAGGGAGATAGGGAGAAGAGGGGGAGAGAGAGAGAGAGAGAGAGAGAGAGAGAGAGAGAGAGAGCTCAGATTCAGGAGACTGAGGCAGTAGGATTGCTTTGCATCTGAGGCCAGCCAGGGCTACATACTGAATCCAAGGTTTGAGACTAGCCAAAACTCTGTATCAAGATCCTACTCAGGAGGGCCGCAAGGAAAGCCAACATTTTGGCCCTAGCCTTCCAAGGTCAAGACTCAGGACATATAAGAACTTGTACTGTAACGTCACGTAACTCAGCAGTGTCCCAAATTTTCTGATCAAGATTATGGGGCCAAAGAGGAAAGTGATCGATGATGTAGAGTGTGCCTAAGGAGAGTCACATGGAGAGAAAACATTCTCTCAGGCTTTCACAGAGAGCACATTGGCCAAGCAATGGCCGTGACTCATCCACATGGCTGCACTGACGAAGGTTCTACAATCTGAGGTACAGGATCTCAGGATAAATCCTGAGGGCATTTCACTGACCTTATCAGACCCAAAAGCTACAACTCTTGTTGCATAGGTCCTGCTTTACCTTGGTCTTAACCATCCAGCAGAAAAGTATAAAAACGAAGTATAAGAAGTAAAGCCATGCTGTTATGTTGAGCTGTAGGAGACGCAGGTCAATAATTTCTGACATTGCCACTGAAGCGGAAGACCCAATACTATTATGGGCTACTGAAGTCTTTTAGAATATTTTGCTGAATTAACACACCTATAATATTCAAATGACGGAACTAAACAAAAAAGGGGATACAGATGAATGTCCTTTTAGTATTCGTGTATTCAAAATGGTTAGGATAGATATATAGTTACATTCTCTTAATGAATAGAGGGATTTGTTCTAATGGTGTTTGTAAATAGGATATCATGTCTGCATCTTGTACAACAAATAACCACTGGGAAGAGAATATGCAATGTGTTAATTATTGAAATTGGCCTACCAGTTTGATTTGAAACTGTCTCATTGCTATTTGTTTCTTAATAAAATTATGGGAAAAAAAAATCCTACTCAAAAAAAGAAGAGGAAAAATGAGCTGCAAGCTGCAGAGTCACCTGTTCCCTGACATTCATCCCGACCAGCCTTACTTATACCTTTCCTTTCTTAAGTTCCTAACCATAAAAATAAAGCAAAATAAATTAATTTTTCTGATTTATAAAAGGCATAGAAATGAAGTCATATGCACTGATCTACATGTGTAGCAGAAAGATATAGCTAAAACACTTAATTTCTTATTTATAGGAGAAAATTCATTCAGATTTTTTTATTGTGATTTGAAACAGGATCTCTGTACAGTTCAGGCTGGCTTTGAACTTACTGTGTAGCTCAGGCTGCCCCTGAACTCGTAGGGATCCTCCTGCCTCTGCTTCCTGTGTGCTCAGATTACAGGTGTGTGCTACCAGCAGACTCAGATTGTAGAGAGCCCTTTTTGGTCTTCATATCAGTCCAGGGAGTTTAGATTTATAATCTGTGGATAAATTATTGGTATCCCACCAAGTTAATTCCAATCTATCACTTCCAGTGCAACCCATGGCGAGAACAAAGACGCTAAGGCATATTTATAATTATGGGGAGCCATGAGATCCTAAGTCCAGCCATGGTGATGGCTATCAGGAACCAAAGCCTGGACCCAGGGCCTAACCTGGGTTTTATTCAGTCCTGAAGGAGGATTGGCTTGAGGATGAGTGACTGAGAATGGCAGGAAATAGATGAGTACTGTGAGCTGGGCTCGGTAGGAGGCCTGCATTTACCTCTGCCACATGCAGAGAGAAGGATATGCAGGAAAATTCGTATTATACTATTGAGATACTATCTAATGTTTTGGGGGTCAGTGCTTTAGCTGTGATGTGTAATCTTTCAAGCCCCAGGAAGTCATAGCCTCTATCTGGAGGCTGATCCCAGCCAACAGTGTGGAGCACTGGATCTTCATCCTGTCTTGGTCTCCTTTTTTTTTTTTTTTTTTTTTTTTTT